GATTACTTTCTCTTCTTCATTACAACGAAACTCGATTTTTTGTTTTCAATTTAACACGAATACAAAAATACAATTAAATTCATTCCTCGATATAAAACATCTTTTACGAGTATTGTGAAAATAATACTTCAAAAAAAAAACTTAATAAAATTTAATTTGATATGAAACGTAACATAAAACGTATCAATCATATATATAAATCTATACAAAAAAATAAAAAATATATACGTAAAAATATATACAATGAATATAAATCTCAATGTGTAAAAAATCTAGTTTTTACTCTCTTTACATTTTTACGTTTATATATTATATTCCTCATTTCATTAAAATATAGAATATAGTAATAATAAATTACATAAACAGTACATAGTACAAATAAATATAGTGTGCTATTAAAAAAGCACGACTTGATTCCAAAAGCATTCATGTATTTAAAGAGTCTCGTTTTTTCTTCTCTAAATGTGATTTTAAAACTTTGCAAATAACTTAATATCATTGAGTTGAGAATCAGCATGTAAAATCGATTTTCACGCACCGTTATAATTTAAAAAATGTTTTCTCATCTCATATAATTGTATGATATTTTCAAATCCACGAGCTATAATTTATTGACTGTATGGATAATTTTTGTTATTTAACGCTTTGCGATTATTAACTATGTTAGCTACATTAACATCACCCATCTATCTTATTTAAGCGCAAGAGAGCAGTGTCATTGAGAGATGAGCGTGAATCGATTTATCTATAGAAAGAATTTAATGAGGCATTTCAATCAATTTTTTACGATAGCGAAAAGTAATAAACAAAAAAGATAAACTATATCGATGTTTGCTCTATCTAATTTTTTAATGTCTGGCACTTTAATTTATCTATCGGTCGAATTAAAATAAATTATTTTATATATACATTCGACGTTAAAATAACTAATTTTTACTTTCATCAGCGAGAACTAAATGTAATAACAATGGAAGAATTTAATAAGAATAAAATTGTTAAAGATAACTCACTTATGTCTCTTTCGATATAACACAGCTTTATGAAATGGCAGGGATAATAATATATTAAAAGCAACTAATTATATCGTCATTATTTGAGAAGAGTGCGGAAGAATTTTATAAATCTATGTTTTGCATAAAATAAATTCTTTATAATTACAAGATATATCTTCTATGCATAAATATGTAAATTGATAGACGATTTGACAGATGCAGATACTATTATGTAATTTATTATATATAAATTTATATATAATTTTATAAAATACAGTAACATTAAATACATAATATACCGACCTTTTTGAAAGCTGATTTCTCTACGAGTTGCTCAGATAACAAAAATATAAGGAAGTAATCTAATACTGTAATCGCAAATAAAAACATTTATTTCAAACGCGGGTAAATAAAATATATGTACAGCAATCTTAAAAGTTGGATTTATTAATAAACAGCTAGATAACCATTCTTTATCATTTGCATTATCTCTAACAAGCGTACTTCTTCCGCACTGCAAGATCGTAAAAGATCCGAACAGATAACATAACGATTACATTACAGAATATTGCTATTCTGAAAGTGACACTAAATTTAAACATAAAATCACAGGATATTTACTAATGTTAGATAAAAATTTACATGAGTATAAATTTCTATTGTTCATATCTTTCAAAGATAAATATCAACTTTGCAATTCCAAATAAAATTTCTTAATGGGATAATGCCTCATTGATAATATAAATTAATATAAAAATCACAGACATAAATTTGAACAGCCAATTTTTAATAGCAAGTATGTGTATGTGTGTGTGTGTGTGTGTGTGTGTGTGTGTGTGTGTGTGTGTGTGTGTGTGTGTGTGTGTGTG